GAGAGAAGACCACYTTTGTATATGGTAGAGTGTGGGGACAGGGATTGGGACAAGAAAGCTCAGAGTCCCCATGTGCACATCTTCAGTTCTGTCTGTGTAACAAAGCTCYGTGTGACCTGTCAGAATTGTATCATGCTTGCAGACTAATTCACCTTTGSATTAACACACACATGAAATATTTCACCCAAGAGACTAATCTATCCATACAGTTATGAACTGCAGAAAAAAGCAGTGTGGAGATCACACGCAGGCTGGAGCTGACAGAGCAGAAAGTTGTGGCTCAGTAGCAATGGTTGTCCTGCAGAAGTCTCTTTTCAGTATTCTACAAATGAATCACAAATGCCACAAAAATTCTTTTAACCATCACTTCAGCACTTCAGTACAATAATGAGCATCATAGTTTTTTGCATTTCTTAAGTGGTGAAAGGCAAATTAAAAAAAAATTGAGAAAGTTTCTCCTAGAAGATTATATCCTCTGTACTCYAATTTATTTCTGCTTCCCCTTTTTCTGTGAATTTTTAAAAATAAGCTTTCAGGAAATGTGTCTTGAAAGTCTGTTTTGTAATGAAAACTTGCATAGGCTGCATAACATACTCTGAAATCAGCATTTCTTAGAACTCGTTTCACTTGCAAGTTCTTGAAGACTGAGTTTCTCCCCTAATGAGGATTTCTGCCTGATTTAGTGATTAAATTGATAGTGTTTAAGGTTTCCATTCAAGGATATACATCTATTAATGTTTGATTGTGYCATGTCTTCTTCCTCATGCAGATTATAGATTTAGCTTTTTTTCCCCTTTCTTTCTTTTCACATCTGTGTGCAAATAACACCGAAGCCTTGGCCAGTGCTGAGCCAGTTTGGCTACTTTGGCCAACAGGCTTGATAGAGATGCAAATTGTATTGGACTATGAGGAGCAGACTGGATGGTGCAACAGCTTAAAATATTATGGATCAAACTGTGATGATTTTAGGGTCCCCTTACCTCCCTTGGTCTTTATAATGGATATGGAATGGCAAATAGGATCAATGGGGTCATCACTCTGTCCTTGCAATGTACACTTATATTTTGTGCAGTTCTTTTACACACCCTTCTCTACAGTGGTCCCTGTATCTGGGTTTTTTTGTATACTTAGAAGGCTTTCTGCACTTGCTGTTGTTGCTGGTTTCTTTAATSTGCTCCTTCTCTGCAGCATCATTTGCAGTGGAGGGATGAGAAAGAGTTTTTCAGTGTTTCCTGTAATGCAATCCAAACATGTACAGCCACAGTAAAAAAATAATAACAGTGTAGTGGAAATGTTCCTGTTTTCTCCAATGCTAATGGGCAGTCCCATTGAGTATCAGTAACAACTTTCAGTTTTGGCCTTGTGTGCAGCAAGGACRGAATGGGGAAGCATATCCTCATAGGCCATAAATCTGCTCACTTCTTTTGCCTTGTGGTGAAACATAAACCCAACCTAAGCTCTTGCCTTAAATGAAGCCACACCAAATGGTTCCCTTCTGAATTTCCTTTGTTTTGCCATTGACAGACTCTTACYGTGCTCTATGTTTGGATCCTAATAGGCTTCAACTGATGTGACAGCCAAAGCTAAGTCAGGACAGTCCTAAAACCTTATACCTTGCTAAATTYGAATTACTCCCTTTATCTTCCCTGTACTTCAGGAAGTAGCTAAGGTCCTAAAAGCTACTGAGGTTATCTTAACACCTGTCTGGGTTGTTAAAGAACTGACAGATTGAAACAGCACTAGAGATCTCCTAAAGAAGAAAAACCTGTTCTCAGAAACCAAATTATTAAGATGATTTTCTGTATCTGTTAAAAAGGGTTCAGTCTTGCTCTCGATCTGATGCTTTGGCATTGATTCCAGTAAAATGAGAATGCAGTTCCTGTGGTTAGATCTCATGGTGGGCCTGGCACTTGGAGAGTATGGCAAGGCTGGAACTGGGCTTTGGTGTACAAGATGATGTTCCCTGGATAGGTTTTTTTCATATTTTTTATTTATCTGTTTCTTTAAATGCAGTCTAGCTCCTGCATCTAGGAATGGCCTATAGTAGATTCCAAGGGAATAGCACAGAAAAATAGAGGAAAATATATTGTGACATTTTCCCAGTGGAATGCTGCTTGTACCCTTAAGCTGATTCTGTAYCTTCTTATTTAGTATGTTCAGATAGATTGAATAGAGTGAGGATCTTTTTTTCTTCTTTTCCTATGTTAATTTCTTTGGAAGTCTTTTGCAAACCTAGTTAYGGAATTCCAAGTGGATCCATCACTWGGATCTGTTTGTCCCCTTGCTTCAGAGAACCTTGAAGAACTCTAAATAGATTTACAAGGCAGGGTTTTGCTTACAAAAGCTGYGTTCCATCTTAGCCAATGTATCTTCTTTATGACTCCTAATTTTGTTCTTGCAGTTTTCCATCTGTTTGTCTGGATTGCTGGGRTTGCTTGTTTGTAGTTTTCCTGTCTCTTGTGTCTTCCTGACAGCTCTTGGTCCARGAACTCCACAGCACAGAGTCACAGGGTGTTGATCATCTCTGTGGCCTGGCCTTGGGTKGCAGGCAGGACAGAGATTGTCCCTTTCTCCTGGCAGCCCTGTGCAGCCRTGGGCTCTCTGCTGGCACCCCTGGACGAGCCCAGCCCCCAAGGGTGCTGGCTCAGGGTCTGCTTCCACACATTTGCTTTGCCATGGAGTTCCACAGCTGGCTGAGGTGAAAGTCACCAGCTTTGCTTCTGCTGTGATGCTGAACCTCCATCCACACAGTGGTCAAAGGGCATCAYTTGACATTTCATGTTTTGGTGTAATTTTCAGCATGGAAAACATTTAACAGTCTGGTGGGTTTAAGGGTGTTTAGCATTTGTAGTAGTGCTATTTGACAGCCATTTAATGASAGTCTTTGAATTTTATATTTTCTGCTTCAGCACAAAGAAATATTTCACATCACCTTTGACATTTGACCTTTCATATTTCCTAGGTTTTTTTTTAAGAATATTTTCTAGGTTTTATTAAAGAATATTGTCCTTAATTTTTTTCTTTTTCCTTATGCTTGTGATATGGTGGGTGTGCTTTTGCAGCAGGCAACTGGAAATTCAAAGTGATCAGTAGGAACTGGTGGTCCAGGGAARACAGAAGTATCAGTACCTGTAAGTTTTCTGTGCTTCCTCTTCTTTTGCAGTACCTTTTGCTAMATTACAAGTGCTCTTTGACTGTTTAACTGATTATTTTCTTTTTAATCCCTAAGCTGTGTTTTAAATTGAATTAGAATTGTGTATCCTTGCATCAGATAAAATTATTAACTTTCATGAGTCAGAAATTATTACCAGCATTTTTCAAAGAGTTTTTGTGGCACCTTTGACCAACTTACAGAATACTGTAAAGAAATCTAGGCAGGAGAGTCATTGCTATTGAGCCAGGATATTACACTCCATCAGCTCCAGCCTGAGTTTGATCTTCATATTTCAGGGGAATAAAGCTGGATGCCACAAGGCACGTTTTATTCCTCTTTAGATTCCCCTCACCCCATTCCTCAATTTTTTTCTGACTATTTTTATATTACTGTTTCCTTGCAACCTTAGAGGAATTTGGGGTAAAAATCACTTGGCTTCCTTTGAAGTTTGCCTGGAAAACACAGCAGGACAAGTCCCAGGTAAGCAGCTCCAGAAGGATTTTACTGTTTACAGCCCTGTTCATGTGTATGAATACATGTGGAGCACCACTGTGTGTTCTGCTGGGCTGAGCCAGGGCAGCCAATCAGCAGACCCGAATCTCTCCCAAATCTTGTTCCAAGGCTGTAACTTGGTCTTAGTTTCTTAACCTCCMCTTTCCTCAGTTTCCTTACCCAGGTAGAAACTGTGTTAATTTGTCTTTCTGAGGTGCTTTAACACGTTGGGTGGAAGGTTTCTCCAAGTCCATTGTGGTTTTGTTTTGTAGCACAATGCTGTCACCACTGAGCCAACAGAACACAAAGCAGCTGTGCTATATTTTTGTTCTTAGTTGCAGAGATTTTTCTTTATCATTCTCAATTCCAGTTGCACATATAGTGGTGTAAGAGCTACAGTTCTTCAAGATGAAAAATAGCTCCTCTGACAAAGCCAAGTGTAAAGGCCTAAAGGTATGCAAGGAGTTCAGAACTAAACTAACATAGATCTTGAAATTGCTGATGTCTGTAAACACTGTTTTGCAACAGCTTTTAATATGTGAAATGATGTGCTGCAGATCATGAATCGATCAAATTACAGTGAAGAGTGTGAGGTGACAGCACAAAGCAGAGAATGGCAGCAATGCCTAGTTTATACTGCTTATCCCTGGGCTGACAGCATTTTCTGTCATAAATCTGTTTGGTTTATAACTAGGCCATAAAACCTTACATCAGGCTGAAATGCAGCAGGACTCTGTAGTTCAGAAATTGTGCATTTATAGAGAAATACATCAGTGATTTGTTAATTAAAATTGCAGTGCTTTAACAGTTATTTACTTTTTTTTTGCACTCTTATAACTTATGCTTTTGGGACTTAATTTATGTTCCATGTAAATCTGTGTGATCTATTTAAAACTTGCTGTCTCCTTGGCTTCATCAAATTCCTTTTTATATATACAGGTGTGACAGTCTATGAAAATACTCCTTCATASTTTTTGTAATTAGATGGGGGACTTTGCTGAAACTTCACAGGAGGTTGATGAGACTAAAGTGAGTTTGGGTTTGTTTTGTTTAAAAGATGTGTATAAGGGTAGCAAGAACACACAGTCTTTAGGAGAAACTGAACAAGGAACGAGTTACAATGCTTAGCTTGGCTCTGTTAGGAGATTTAGTGTCAGTTTATTCCAAGTTTCTTCATATTCTTAATGCTTGCCCTGATCTACTTGACACTGATCAATCTTGCAGACAGGCAACAAGCTCGTGGAACACGATGGGGTCTAGCAAGTCCCTGTGCTCCTACAGAATACCAGCAGATCAGTGTAGTTTAGCTTTAAATGATCAGTTGACATAGCTAAACATATAGCATACACATCCTGCAGGCCTTGACTGATGGAAAAACTAAGAGCTCTAGTTTAAAATGACAAGATCCTTTTATTGTTGTATCAGTAATAAAACGAGGGTAGCATCAGAGAACCTACTGTGATTCATTCCATATCTTGCAGTCACATAGAAATGATCTGTAAATCAGTTTGAYAGACTTCATCAGTTGGAGCTGGATACACACCTCAGTACACATGTAGAAAGGAATGTTCAAATTGCCATTAGTTCAAAATCCATTTTTTTTAATAGAATGCAGTGAAATCAAGTGGAAGAAATAAAACACCATCAGTGAAAGGAGGAGAGTTAAATACCAGCTGACAASAGAAAGGTAACAAGCACTTGGCATTCAATTTGTAAGCTGAGCAGTGTATATGAGGAAGAACACCAAAATAAAGCTTTTGAGGCAAAATACATTATAGTTTCTTACTTTTTGATAGTGGGCAGGGCTGCAGCAGGACAGTTGCTCTTGGAGACCTGCACTTCAGGTCCAGGCAGTGTTACAGAGGTGACACTGTTTTGCCCCTGCCAGGACAGTTCACTTTGTCCCTAGAGAATCGGGGTATCTGTGGGGCAGCTGCAGCTACTGTTATCCAATTTTGGGAAGAGGAAGACCATGGGTTGTAAGGGGGTCTAAATGAGAGTGAGTTCTTTGTCTCACCTCTGAGRTCCAGCTTCTTGGATTTAGGTGTTTAAAGGTAGTATCTTTGTTCTAGCTTTTGCACTTGCCAAATGAGAGACACCTTCCATCACCTGAGGTATGTTTCATGCAATAGTTACTCATTACTCTGAAGAAATCTGAGATTGGGTATTTGTAAAGCAAAAGGAATAGTAATWGTGTAACTGAAATCTTCTTTATTCACAAGCTGAATGTAACCCAGTAATTCCCACTGTGAGGCTCCAYACACAGCATGAGCATTGTCCTTCTCCTTGCCTTGCAGGGACTCACCATGCACATACAGGTACTTCATGGAAAAAAATGCAAAGTTTAACTTTGCTCCTTTCAGGAGGACAATTTTGTATTCGTGGAACTCTTTTCATATCCCAGCTTCAATGTGATCCAGAATCTTTGAGATCGGTGATCTTAGGACAGTGGAAGGCAGAGATTTTTGCAGGTGCGGTGCTGTGATCTGACTACTGTGACTGATATTGTAGTACTGTGTAGTTTATTTATCTTCTTCATTCCAGAAATTTGGTCACATTGTGTCRAGCATCTGTGGMMTGGTTTGTAGTCTGTTGCCTAGGASGGCTCTGCTAGCCTCTTGCAGAAATACAAGAGGCAAAACAGAACACAACCCCTCCAGCCTTAGCCTGGTGTCTTCACTGAGAAGCTGCTGCCATGGCCAGTGGGAGGGAGTTGGCTTTTTTGGGTAAGTTTTGTTTGCCCTCCTTCCTCCCACCCCTATTAAAAAAACAGCAGCTTGATAGCACAGCAGCAAATGCAGATTAATATCAAACAGAATTTTCACTACTGTTTTCGTATTAACATGAGATGTCAAAATGTAAAGTGAGCTGGATCTCCACATGGGACCACTCTTGCTGTTAAAGGCTTTAGGCTGGAACAGAGCCCAAATTTTTTAGAAGAAATCCAACATTTCCCRATCAAATATTAATTACATGCTATATGGAATTATATATTTCAAACAAGTCTTATAAATAAAAATCTAGGCCTTTCAAACCATCAGCAATATTAATTTTGGATTTAAAAGATTATGAAAGATAACCAACCACATAACTGTGAATTAGAAAAATACTGGCCTAGGTTGCATAAAAACCTCCATTAAATAAATACGCAAAGTTTTCACTATGAAAATYCAGTGGCATTGTACTTAAAAAAGCCATAATGAATTAACCATCCCTTMATGACACTCGGGTTGTGTTTCACGAATCACAAACACACACAGGAAGTCAGACGGCCCCAAAGGTGATGGACTGGGTGAATACAGTTAACAGAAAGTCCTCTTGGTGTGTGCTGCTCCTCCATCCCAACTTCCTGACTGCTGCTGCAGGTGCCAGCTGCAGACCCTGTTACCCTTCTCCTGCAGGCTGCCGTGCTGGCCCGCAAGGTCCAAAGGCCACTGCAGGAGGTGACTGTGYCTGGTTTGTGTGTCCGTGCCTCAGGCCAGCGCTTTCTCCTCGGGGTGGTTTGCAGAGAGAGGCTCTGGTTTCCAGTCTGGCTGGAAGAAGTGGATGTTGAATGTCCGTGCCCAGTTCTCGAAGACGCGTTTCTCGGTGATGAAGCGGTGGTGGCTGCCCTTGCGGCCCCGCTCGTGGGAAATGTACATTGTGCACTCGTCGGGTCCCAGAGGTTCGTAGTAATGATAAGGTACTGAAAGATGATTAGGATCCCTGTGGAAAAAAGAAAATAGATGGAAGCCCAAGATGTTCTTTTTCATTGATTGAAAAGATGCTATCTTCAATGAACTGATGGGCTCAAATCTACTTTTTCTCCCAGTTAAACTAGATAGCTGGTTTTTTCTTGCATATCTAATACATCAGAATAGGGCAAAGGTGTTTGCTTTGCTTTTTTYCTGCTCCCCTTTAATCTTCTTCCTCCCAGTTAAATGAAGGACAACAGTAGCTCAGAAACAAGGGAGAGTGCTGCAGGGCTGTGTTACTACTATGAAATTTGAAGTAAACTGCWTGAAAGAGATTTGTATCTAGATTGTGATTTGTAAAAGGTCTTGCAGATGTATTTACTGAACTGGGGGAACAAAGAGAAGACAACAGAGGGRAGGTGGTTATCTGTGTCACATCAGCTCAGCTGAAATTCCCAGCGCGCTCTGCGAGGTTCTGAGAGCACAACTTCAATGAATGTCTGCATGCCAGGTCAGTGGTACAGGCTGCTGTTGCTGGGGTTTTAATCAAATGTCTGATGCACAAATGAGTTCTTTATTTTACAACGGCAKCTTTCATGTATCTAAGCTAAAAATTAAAACAGTTCACCCATAGTATCCGTCTGACCTCGTGAACCCCTTCACATTTCCCAGCGGGAGATGAGTGACTCGTGGTGACACACAGGGTATGCCAAACACCAATTAGATATTAGGATAAAGTTCATTTTAGCAGTTCTGACCTCAGTGTTTCCATGTTACATTCTGTAAATGGCACATTTGTATGATAATAAGCCAGAGTGATTCATTCTCCTTTTGTTTTGATCTCTACATTAACCTGTGCCTGTTCTGGGTTTTTACTCTGAGCATGGGCGTTGGGGCTGACAGGAACTCACACAACTCTCTCCATCATAAATTCAAACAGAGCAAGCTGTCCCAGATGGAATAACCCAGCTGTATCCCTCTATCCCCAATTGCTACCAATTATTTAGTTGTGGCAGAAAATACCCCAATATCAGCACTCAGTGAAGTCTTGGAGCTGCTCTGTGTTAAAGCCTGAGCTGAACAGAACCTTAGCAGAGAGCAGGAAATCTGATGCAGATTCAGGGCTGTCAGCTCTAATATACAGTTGATTATTTTCATTTTGAAATGCTAATATTTAAGCTCACTTTCAATTGAATGCATCCACAATCTGTCAGTAGTCTGTGCTGGTCATTATTTTTACTGTGTAATTCTGTCACCTATGCAATTTTCTAATTTTTCTTATTTTGCCATTATCCATATTGTATATGCAGTGGTAATGTATGATATTACTGCTGCTTTCCATTTGTGCCTTAGATTAACGTTTTAATTCGATCAATCTGGCTTCCTTGTAACTTAACATGGTCATCAATCTTACMAGACCAGAATAACAATAAAATTACATTTCTAGAATAAGATGAATTCTAAACATATTAAATGTATTCTCACTGGAATACATGAGTGAAACAAAATCCTTCATCACCTCACCTACAAAAAACRTATTTGTAATCTAAAGGCACCCTTCATATAGAAATTTATTACTTCTAAACTACAACTATTAAAACTCAATGTTCAATTATTTTTTCACTTTTTTGATGCATTGGACCTCTTATTGTTGCTTAAATGAATCATTTGTATGGTTACTGTAAATCTAATAGGATAGACTTTCATATGATGTATTTTTTTTAAGAACTACTAAACAAATAGGCCTCTGCCTCTCATTTAGACTGCTYTTCCTTCTTGCTCTGAAGTTGGATTTTACTCCTGGGTCCTCGAGGGTAAATTGCTTGGTGTACATTGCTCAGTGCAGGATGGGGGGCTGGTGGCTCTAGACCTCTCCAGGATTACTCTGCAGCTGACAGAGGTTTTAATGCTAAATTCCAAAAGCTGTCATTTGCATTTAGGAATTCTGACAGGCATTTAAATGGAGGACCTTCTCATTTTATGGGAGTTCTGKATTCCCCTAGATTGCATKCTAGTAAGCTTTGGATGTGAACTCWGGCTTGAGTACACCATAACCCAAATTAACGGTGCTGTGTTATCTTCTAACTCTGCAATTAGCTTGTGTCACCAGCAAATGAAATGCATGAGTAATTTCTATACGGAAATTGCTTGCCACCTCATTTATTAACATTAAAACAGATGCTGTTTTATCACTGACTGATACTGGACATTAATCAGTATTTTGTCAGACTCTGCATGCATATTAATATCACAGCTGGGAGGAATGTGGGCAAATTCCTGTGTTCTTCCCTCCCGATCACCTGCCAGCACAGCACCCGTGGAAGTGCTTGTACCCCGTCAGTCAGYTCCTGTTTGCCACTTGAGTGCACATTTTCCCACAGATGGTATCCACCTACAGCAAAAGCTGGAAGTACAGCACAGAAGAAACAGGGCAGGAAAACCAGGCCACCCCATCCCACATTCTGGTCAGCCTCTTTCCTTAGAAATGAAGAGCCATTATAAATCAACCCTCTAAAACTATAGGTACTCATACACTTTGTGCAGTGATTCGTATCTTTATGGGTGAATAAAGTGTCATTTATATGTCGAGTGATGGGCAAGGTGCTGTGCCACAACTATGAAGATTCCTAGATAAATTTTTTGCCTTCTGTTCCCAGGATCCCATTTCCCTGATGTCCATGACTAGTCCTGTTTTCCAAACCATGGATGCATTTTGTTATTAAGGTAATGGAGTGAGGCATATGGACCAAAGAGCAGGACTATCTCACATACAGCTTACAGTGCTGGGAGCCTCTCAAAAGCTCCAGGAAATGCAACCARCATCAACTGCTGCTTTGTATTTGATGTAAAAGAACTAAAAGTGGAGAGAGGGAGGTAAGACAACACTGAAGAATTTCAAATACCAATTTTCAGGTGAATTATCATGGAAAATGGCCTGGCAGTCAAATGAGGATTCTTACAAGAAAATTAACTGGTTCAATAACTGGAACAAAAATTATTCATATTAGTTAAAATAAGGCTCTGAATTTAAGTTTCTGTGAGTTCCAGAAAGCCTGTGAAGRAGAGGACAGTTAGAGGGTTCATCTCACTAAGCCCTTTTCCTTGTGTACATGAATACCCTTGCAACAGCATAAATCAGTAGCAAGCAAAGGGGTTTGAAATTATATAGCTTTACTGTAAACTACTAGAAATTTATAATGATAGGACACTGAGTTCAGTTCAGCTAAAAACTCAGTGTCCAGTGAAAGTAAATAGAAATGAATCTAAAGCATCTTGTTGCAATTAATAGTGACAAATCTTTTTAGTCTGTGCTCCAGACTCCTTCACTAGACTATTTTTCCTGCACGGATGCAAAGCAATTTGGTTAATGATCTTAAGCTAATAATTTGTAGCAGAATCAACAGCACGATCTTCACGGTACCTTTGAGGTGTCCTTCACGTTACAGATGTGACACTAATTTAGTTCCATGACAGTGATCACCACACTCATTACTTATTCCACATATTAATGCTTAAAAATAAATGAAAAKCTATCAGCTGAAGTTATAAATGGGTGATATTAATTTCTGAATAGAAATAAGGGTTTTTTGGTGGTTTTTTTTTTTCAATCTTAATGATTCTTTAGTTCACAGCAACTAGGATACCCACGCCATTTAGCAAAGATTTTTGCTGTTTTGTTGGGTTTTTTTTATTTTTTTTTAATTTTAATGGTAGATTCTTACTCTGACTGAAAACCATGAAATATGGTTTATAATTAAAGATTATTTCTTTCCTTCTGCTATTCTGCTCTGTTGTGTTATTTCTTTGAAAGGAAGCACTGTTTTAACTTCTTAATGACCAGCTGAAGAACAAGCTAAGAAGGTTAACTCTATTTATGGCAAGAAACTCCTTTCCTAGATCTTCATGGACAGCTTCTTCCAGGCATGGCAACAACAGTTTTTCCCTTCATCACCTGGGGAATCAAGCTGAACTAAAGACACTTCATATTACTTTGATTAAGAAATGACCTTTTCCCTTTTTACAACCAGGTGTGCATACCTTTATGTTAAGATTTTTTTATGCAGGCTGTAAGAATAATTACATCTATCACTGGTAGGATTGATCCACAGCCTTTCTTGTGTTATAATTGAATATTAAGTCCATTTGATTTCAGTGTATCGATTCTATGAAAGCTTTTCATATTGTCTCAGTGACATTTTTAGTCTCTCTTAAAACAGTCTGTGTTTAGTTGGGTTTTTCCTTCATATGTATCTAAATTCTGACTTTGCCTGAAAAGTCAGGATTACACATTATATTGCAGTGAAATGCTGTCTTCTGTATTTTTAGATCATCGGTTTAAGAATTACTTCCATGTGCCACTGGAACAGAGCCAYTTCTGGAGTAAGACAGACCAGCCACTTGCAGCAACTGAAGCAGYGTGTCTTGGCCAGCTGAGATGACAGAGGATTGAGATGCTGTGCTGTGGAAGGTATTTGTGTTGTCTGGCATATCTGATCTAGTTTGCTATTTTCCTTGGAGAATTCACAATGAAGTCTGGCAGTACATCACAGCATTTATCATCAGTGTTTTGTTATAATTTGTAGAAATTCTCACAAAGTGGAGTTTAGTGTTGACATTTTATGCTGTGATTTCTTCAGGGATTTCTGMAACGTGCCCAAGGCAAATGCAGATTCCTGAACGATCCTTTTAAGTGCTCAGAGGAAATTCAAAGCAGTCCCGTTCTTTAGGACTAACCCAGTGCTGCATTAATGTCTTTGGGACTAACCTTGCCCTCCCTGCCCCTGGGAGTCASTGAAACAGACTTCAGTAAGATCACTACATTTGAAAGAGGAAATTKAAGCAAGTATTTCTTCATGAAAAGGGTTTGTGAGCAGGTGATGAAACTTTGCACTGAGGCCTCATTCCAGCTCTTCCTGGGTCACCCAACAGGACAAACGGGATCAGCCCTGGCTGTGAACAGGAACCACTCATTGGTGTAGTGCTGGGTGGGCAGGTGAGACAATGTCAGCGTCAAGATTGCTGATGAAATACAAATTTGTCTGTATTCATGCTGATACCTTGTGGCTAATGGAATKTTGGCCCAGCACTAGCAGTCCTGGGGATTTTTCCTGTGTCACTAATCCATAGTGGGAAACTTTAACCAGGACCTGGAGTCTGTGTCCTGAATGTGGCTGGAGGCACAACCCGGCTGGAAAACGTGACCAAGCTGTTCCTTTAAACAGCAGCTTCCACCGACAGAATTTGTGCTGCTTCTGCCACTTGTGACCCACCCCCTGCCACGCCCCAAGTGATGATTACAGGACTGATTCTCTGGCTCCAAATTCAGGGGGAGGGATTTTATGGAGAWCATTTAGGAAGCTGCAAGATTGGCATTCATGTGACAGAGGTACAACAATCTTAATTTGAGTTGCACAGAAAGTTCAATTTAGAAACTAGTCACTGTGAGAACACCGTTCCTCTATTAATTTGGGGGGAACTCGAAAAACAAATTAAAAATAATGTTTTCCAGTACTTCTTTCTTCAGATTAATTTCATGCCAATTATTGCATTACTTTTTAGCTGATAAATATTCAGAGACTGAAAGAAAGCAACAAGATGGATTAATTCTCCCACAGTACAAACAAAATTTTAAAATATTTTATATAACATAATTAAATGCCGTTTGTTGTTTTCAGAATGAGGTCATGGGACATCTTAGTTAATTGCTTTAAGAGGRCTTAAGATTTGTTGCAGAGCAAAAAAGATTAAAAGATTCAGACATTTCTCTGTAACATTAACTTTGTTGGCTAATAATGGTTCCAAAATAAATCCTACCTGCAGAAATCCGGTGGCACCATGCCATAAACATTTATCCTGTCACAGAGCTCTAATGCGATAGTCATTGTGAACCAGCCCGTGCTAAGCCAAGTRTTGGATATCTTCCTGAAAGCAAAAACATAATTAAGTTTCTAAGCTGGCAAATAATTCTTGAGATTTATTTATTTATTTGTTTGTKTACTTATTCTGAAGCCATTTCTCRGCATTTTCTTCATTCTCGTAAAAGGCTTTGAAACTTGGGCAACCAAGACTACTTTGCTCATCCATCTTTTAATGATTTTGCTGTGCATCCTGTCAGTGGGCTAATCTAGGCAGAAATTGCCCTGACTGTAAATAATTTTGGGCACAGCAACGTTCATATTTAGCTGACCTATTGACTTGTTTTCTAGAAGCTCCCAGCCCCTCACTGTGACTGCTGGTAGGAAATTCTAGTTGGCTGCAGCTCTGCCTATCCCATGGCCAGCCTGGGAAATCCTTCATCCCAGGAACCATCCCAGGTGCCTTTGAATGGGAATGACAGCGCTGCCAGGGAGCCCTCTAAGGCAGATCCTCTCCTGCCTTCACTGCAGCCCAGGACGTGGCTTTGAAAGAAGCTCAACTGATCCAGCATTAATTACGCAGAGTAAGAGACACCTCCGTGTAACTGCTCAGAGGTAAGGGCTTTACAAGTTGTGTTTAAGTTTTGCTTTATCACAGGTTCTTATCTTTATCTGCAAAGTGGCATCAGTGCTGTTTGCTGTTCCTCTCATGCTTGGCAGTGCTGTTCTAAGAGCTGGGCTCTGTCATGGTTACTGGATGCCCTGGAATTCCCAATCCAGTGTTAACTTCCTGCTCTGGGCTGTGGCAGAGCTGGCACTCTTGGAATGGGAGGATCAAGGAAATGCCAGCAAAGACCATGTCTTAAAGGTGTCACAAGGCAGACTTAGGGACTGGCACCTCTCTTAGACATGCAGGCACATAAAATTGGGTGTTGTTGCAGAGAAAATGAGTCCACTCAAAGGTCTCCTTTCAAATGCTGTAAATACATAAGACAGGAGTTCTCCCTAAAGGCTCCTCACCCAGCTAGGAAAGTCCTGCAGGAAGAAGTTTCAAGCTTGTGTTATCTGCAGCCCAAATATCTCAGATTCCTGCTGACAGCCTGTCACAGTGACAGGCTCTCCCTTCATCTCCTGCTAAAGCCGAGGGAACAAGTGCAGGCTCTGGGAATTCCTGGGCACTGTATCACAATGTATTGATGTGGGACCTACATTAATCCCATTTCCTCACACCTGTATCTGTCAGGTACCTGTGAAATTTTGTCACACCCTCMCAAAAAAAAGCACAGCAGAAAATATGATGTTCTCTTCACCGAAGTCAGCCAAGAATCCCATGTCCTGACCCAAGTTCCAAGGCCATCTTTTACAGTTTACCCAGTGATAGCAGGATGTGGAACAGTCTTGGAAGCAGGGACCTGAGGCCACAAAAGCCAARTGCCAGCAATCACTAACATCTAATTCAGCCGACAGGAGCCACCACGCAGCTTCCCCAGCAAATGCTAAACAAGCTGGTTCCAAGTAGGTCACCTACAGGGCAGTAGGAGGAGATGTTTTGAGCACTGTCAGATTGAGGAATGTCTTGTACTAAGGCTTCCCATTTCCTCAGGGAATCAGACTACTGCAAAGAAAAAAAAAAGTGGTTGTGTCTGTGCCAGCTGCATAAAAGACTCTTCTAAACATAAGGGATTTCTTTAACTAAATATGCCTGGAGGGTACTGGGGAGCCTAGGTAATTTGTCCTGTCCTTAGTGCACCACCTGGTAATGTATTAATTCCTGAAACACACACTTTTACTGCTCCTGCCACACACACTTTCAAGCTAAGCTGGCATTTGGAGAATGACATGCTATAAGCATCTCATTATTTCCAATTATGGGCCCTTATTTATTTTCTGACTGTGCACTTAGGGGTGGTGGTGCAGTTTGTCACAATGTCATAGCTGGGTCATAAGCTCAGCAGAAGCCTTCAGGCACAGCAACAATATAAAACAGTAAATAAGAATTTTTGGCTCAAAATTATTAGGAAAGAGAATGGTAGGGGAAAGCCTAAAAAACTTGCTTCTCTGCCACCTGAGGGCTTCTGAGCTCTGAATCACCAGGTAATTCAGGAACATGTTCAGGCTAAGAGTGCTCTGGAGCTTGCACAAGTCCMCTGTTCCAGGGGCCCAACACTTACATTCCTAAAGTGAGGGAGGAATTGAGCCAGACCATGACCAAAGCTTTGCACAGGTCAGGACACCCAGCCAAGCTCTCTGCTGGGTTCGTTTTCATTCTGCCTGCGTACACTTAGGCTGTCATTTAGTGTTTTCAGTAAACAGGAAAACAACTGAATACAAATAAACTAGCTTAGAAGAACTGAATATAAATAAACTACTTTAGAAACTAAATAATCAAATAAAGATTTAAAAATTTATTCAAGTACCACTTTGCCTTCTTTAAATATCRTGTCTGTAGGACACCAACATAGAAACAGGGTGACAGTGTCTTGCATTTCATACAAGATCTAAGCAAGAGTCCAACAAAAGAATAGTGTTTTGTACCTAATCAGCAGTAATGAGAGAATATGAAGAACTGTCATGTGCTTATTAGGGGAAATTATCAGATATTCTTTTATATGATGAACTAACACACTGTGCTGATAATTCTGYAGTGCACACTAAATTACAATTAAAGGCCTTTCTGCTCCACCAAAATCTCATTTATAATCTCTATGGAAATACTCTTCCTGCAGTTATTTCATTTATGCTGCTTTTATCTAATTACTATAATATTGGTTCTGAATCATATTTTCTTAGTGTACCCCTATTCAATTATAAAGTTATTTTCAAGTACAGTTACTTTATAATGCCAAGTATATTGCTCTGCAGCCTTTGTCTTTCACCACGCTATTTTACTGGCAATGTTTTCTGAAGGTTTCTCTTAATTTCAAAATCTTTTTTTTTCCAAAAAGCACAATACATCCAATTACTTTTTCTCATTATTTTCGAGACAGAAATGAATAGTCTGATTATTGCAACCTTGCAGTCATGCTTCTCTCTCCCCCGTTTGTTTTTTGTAGGCACTAATGTCAAGAGCTCAGCAGAAACCTCCCAGGGAACAGCAGCATTCTCTTCCCTGTTCCTGCCCCTACATGTACCTGAATTGTCTCCCTTACAAATTCTTTCCTAGCCATGTTTCTTTTCATCTTCCCTTTCTTCTGTGCTGCATTTCATTTATTTTCATCTCCCATTTTAATCTTCTTAGCCCTTCAAGTATGCTGTCTGTGCCCTCTAAAGGAGTGGCTCATACACAGCAGAGCCTGCAGTTTATTAAAATCAACAGGGCCTGTTCTCAGGCTGAATTTTGCTGGCATCTGAGTGCCCTTGATTCACATTGGGAGTTCAGGGTGCCCATGACTGAGTTCACTATAAACTTGTTAAAATGTCATTAATGGCTCAAATGCCTTGAGAATATTTCAGGAGCTGAGCCTGTTGCCTGTGCAGAAAAAGAAATGCTTTCATCTCACACTCACTACAGCCCTCTGGCTCTGGATGGGTGATGCAGAACCAGAAAGAGCAGCTTGCCTGAAATTGCACAGCATGTGTCAGAAAAAGAACAGGATCCTGGCAATGTCATGGAGRGCTCCCTGTGGCAGAACTGGCCAGAGTGAAGCAGGGGAGGGAAAGTGTTCCTCAGAACTGGGGACTGCATGTGATGCCACCCTGGATCACTGAAAGCATGATCCATTGAGGAGGTGGCAGTGGGCACTCCCTGTGTCCCAGACCAACCCCTGGGGCTCATGGTGGCCAGGTGACAGTGCAATTACAGCTTTATTGACTTTCATGCCTTTGTAAATACTGAGCACACAGATAGATAACGCTCTGCACTTTTCTTTAAGGGTTCAAATGCTTCATTCACCTTCTCACTTTGCTTTACTCTGGAAAAGACAAACACATCACTACTGACAGGGTATCTCCCCTTGTTATCCTTCCTTCTTGTTCTGGCAGAGACCAAACACATCAACTGGAAGATGAAGAGAAAAACCTTTAATGTTATAAAAGTGACCAAGTTACTCTGTGCTCTGGTGTGAGCCCGAGTCAACCATGAACTCAGATCCACTACAACTGAACTGAGTTCTGCAAGCAAACCTTGTGGGGTGTGATAAGGGCAGCAAATGCCAAGCAAATGTTGCCTTCAGCTAAGAGAATAAAACACTTTCCCCTAACATTGGTTCTGCCTTTCTCATGTAGCCCAGAAAATGAAATCCATGCTCGAGTCTTCACTATCTCCAAGAGCACTGAGCCCTGTTCCAAGCTTTGGTGTGTATGTTTTGTATTTGTAAGCTGGAAAATCTGACTGTAAGTTACTACACAATAAACCTACCTTTTCATTTGTATCTAACTGGGGACCCCATTCCAGTTTTAGAGCAGCATATTTAATAAGTAAAAAAAATGGGACTTCATTAAAAATAAATGTCTTTCATGATGGGAAGTCTTTGGCTTGAATGCCCATTTTTAAATATTATATGTGAAAATACTCAAGTATTGCAGTGGGTCACTTACTAAAAATTTGATTTGAAGATCAGCCTACAAGTCTCATAAACAGTCTCATAAAGATGTAACTATGATAATAACTTTCCATTTTCCAGTTGCAAATATAAGATTAACTGTTCCGAAGAACCTAATGTATGACTAATGTTTATTTGTTTTACAAGAAGCTTTACAGCTGCAGTGTTCCAAGAATGCTTAAATTCAATAAACAGCTATTATAATTCACTGAATGGTGGCATTTCCTCTATAGGCAAACATAACCTATCCATTCTAATTTTTCAGAATCAGTGAAAAAACTTTAAGGTGTATTACCCTGAAGTGAGATTTACACAGCTCCTGCCTCCTTGACTTTCTATAAACAGTATATCCAGACTCTGGTATTCTAAGCTGATGAGCTTAGAATACTCCACACAAATTATTCTGATGTGCATTTTTTACTTATGTTACCAGTGATGTTATTTGGCATGTCATGCCACATTACAAACTCAAGAGGCAGAGGATTTAATGGGTGGGATTGTCCCACTGAGCAGATCTGAAATTGGTTTATATAAACTGCATTTTTTACTACTCTGTGACATCCCCACGGTGTATCCGTGTAAGTTCTCACCTGTCTTTTCCAGTCTCCCGTTTAAAAAGGTCATCAAACTGAAGCATCTTGTGGCGAGAAATCATATACACTTTTAACTGAGGCAGTATCTGGTTCATCAGCTGCAGGTTATTGTACACCAAGCCTTTGCCATCTCTCCTCATGTAGCTGCTCGGGCCCCAGAAGATGAACACGGCCCCGTGGCTCATGTTCAAGAGTTCGTTGCGGTTTCGCAGAATCCTCTGAATGCTGGAGTGGGCGATGACTCTCAGGCTGGTTTTGTTCCCGACGTCCTTCCCATAACCYCGAGTGGGTGCATCGTTCATCCGGATGACGCACTCGGCCTGGTCGATGCTGTCCCCTTGCCTGCTGCCCAGGAGGTGTCCAGAGCTGGTGACCAGAGCACAGCTCTTGCAGTGCATCTTCAGTGGCTGCAGAGACACACACTTCACAATTAGCTGCAGGCATCCCCCCTTCCACTACACAGCTTTATTTTACAGTACATTGTGTATTTTACAGCAAAAACCTCACAGCAAGGTACATAAATCTCTCCTGGCTGTCTKCCTGAATAGCTGGGGACACATTACCTGTATATTTTTGAGGGGAATGTGGTGTAGGTGTGCAGCTCTTGGGGTTCCTCTGTGGACCTAAGCCCATTGCCTAGATCCTCCTTTCCACTGCTGCTTCATTTACAGAAATCTTTGCAGCTACTTAGGACTGCACTTCTTCCACTTGCCATAACTGAGCTATAATTGGAGTATTTTTTATTCTTCCTCTTACTTTTTTTCCCCCAGGAAATAAATCCTAAGTCCTCATAAGTTCATGTGTGAATAGMTTTTCAACCCTGGGGTCAGGACATTTTGCTAAGGGAGGAGATTGATACCTCAGCCCAAGCCTTCCATGCTATTTGCAAGTTGTGCCACAACCACTSCGGTGCTCTCGTAGCTCCTTTCTGGTTCACCAGTCAGAGCTGGTCAGTAATGTCTGTGTACATTTTACATGACAGTGAGTTAGTGTGCTGAGCCTTTGCTACCTTGTCAGGTCATGTTTAAAAGTWACACAGTAAAATGGAATGGGAGGCGCCTGTTCAGTGAGTGCTGACCTAATGGAAGCAGAAGAGTAAAACAAGCTTTCATGAAAATGAAAATGCGTGATAAATCATGTTACTGAAGTATGCCACCACGGTGGGTATCAACTATAGAGGAGTGAGAGCTCAGCAGGAGAACTAAAARGAGCAAGGGTTAACAGTGTCCCCAAAGTGCTACTTGCTAACAAGAACACAATAAACTGAGGTAAATAAAGATTGTTTGAGGGTGTGCCTGGGTAGCCCTCCATGAAATAGTTATTTTGCACTTTGTGTATATCTTAGTTTCTTTGAAAAACAAACAAGAACAAAGCAACCAAGTAACACCACCCCCRMACCACCCCCCAAAACCCCAAACCAGCCCACCWGAAAAACCCCAGGCACAGAGACTGRACTGATCTACATGTATGTAGGAATCCAGTGACTAAATCAGACTGCAGGGAGGCACAGCTTAAAACTCTAAAGCTGAAAGGGACACATGATGTACATTTAACATAATCTCAGGCCCCTATTTAAAAATGCTTTGGCCCTGACTGCTTGATGGGAGTATTTTACTGCAGTAACTTGGCTTTAATTTTGAAGGTATTAAGTGGTTATAATTACAGTCAGAAATTCTTTTTTCTATGAGACTAGCTAATGAATGCTCAGTGCTTTTTAATTGAAGAAAAAATACCAAAAACATACAACCTGCACAGTGATACAACAGTAAGCCTTGTCTCTCCACCTCCCCCAATCAACAAAGTCCCTTTCACATCTATAGACTTTAACCCAGAGCTAATGATATGGGTGAAAATGTTCATGCCTTTGTGAGCCAAGGTTCCTAATGCAGTATTTACATGCATTTTCCTTTAAGCTTTCTTCTGCCACTTTGATGWATTACCCACTGAAAGGCTCTAAGGTGAACTCGCTACTCCACCACCATGCTTGGGAAAGCAAGACCAAGTGCTAATGAGGTTAAAGGAAATGCAGTCAGCACCAACATTAACTCACACAGGTTTGAATATCCGCACAGCAAGGCTTTTTCACCTAAACAATCTCTGCTGGTYTCTGGCCTACTGAGCTACAATTGCCTTGTTTCTTTTAGAAAAGTCTGCCACAGAATCCATCAATTGTTAGGAAACAAGGGCAGCCATCAGCAGAGCTGTGGAAACTTGGGAAGGGGGCTGAGGCTACATAATAAACATTAACACCCCCCAGAACATCTGTCTCAGATCTTGTTTGAAAAATGTTCCTTCTGGGAAAAAGTCTTTAGACTGAAAGAGTCAGGTATTGCCTCGCCAYTTCCTGAATGATGCATGGGGGCTGAGCCCTTGTAGCTGCTCTAGGCAAGTAATTTTCAGTTGCCTCACTCAGATTCTTTCAGCTGAAGTCTACAAAACTCRCACCTAAAAATTGTCAGAGGAATTCACAGTGAACAGCCACAACATTCTCACACCAGCTGTTTATAATGCTTTGACAACAGTGAAAGCAAGGGGGGAAAAAGCCATTGGCTGTAATATCATCTTACCGGGAGGCAGTGGTGGCACCAGAAATGTCATCTACTTAAGCAATAATAATGGAGGCACAAGGCAGTTCTTTGGGATTGATGACCAGCTGCAAAAAGTTGATGGCCTGAGAATAACCAGGGGCCATTAAGCCAGAAGAACATTAACTCCACAGAAAATGCTGTTACAGTAATTATTACAGTGGTATTTTGGAAAAAAAGCAAAGTGAAAAGAAAGCAAATCCCATGAAATATGAGTTATATTTCAAGAGCCTTGCTTCAAAAGGGATKGGGTGAGGGGTAGGCAACTTTTATAGCATCTTTATTGATTACCTTGAAGTGTAACATGTAATCATGCAAGTAAAAGCTGCTGACATTGAATCCTACCCAATGTTAATAAATAAGCAGTCACAGTTCATGTGTACCTGAACTCCATGGACAGCACCTTTGGGAAAGGGCAGAGCACGTGGCCACTGCTACAAYGCAGGTCAGGCACTTGGGCAGTAAATGAGCCAAGTCCTGTCCAAAAAAACCACCCAAATCACCTCTGAGTTCCAGTCACCTCGAGACACATATGGGGAGAGGGAGAACAGWGGTTACAGTGCAAAAGGTTCACAGCAAACAGTCCCAGAAGAGGGCAAAKCAGCTGCTGCTTTTCAAGGATGGATGGGCTGTCCCAAGGGAATGAAGGCAGCAGGGGAACTTTATCATGGGGTAAATCCCAGAACAGCAGCTTTGTGGCCACAGCAAATAGGGGCAGCTTTGCACTGCTACAAGTATTCCCAAAGGCCAAACTGACTCCTGGCAGCTTCCATTTCCACAGACTAGCCCAGAGGTGCTGCTGCTCTATCACAAATGCCTGATTTGGTTAATGAAACAAAAAACAATGCCAAGGTTGTTTCTGTATTTTCCAATTTGAGGCAATTTGCTCTGTTATTGACTTTAAAATCTATGTTGTCCAATGATTGAAAAATGTTATCTTCAGACACTTTAGTGCTCAAGTGCTCAAGAAAACTAAATTGAAAAATGTTGTTCCTGAYACAAAATACATTATTCTCAGATATAATTATTTTCTTTGTGATGAAATCAAGGGATAATTCTTTTTTTGCTTATAGTAGTCTTTTGATTGTAAAGCCAAGRTTTAGAAAATAAGACAGTTCTCTCCAATAAAATAAAAAATGCTGTAAAACACACTTTTTCTTATACTGAGTACTTAATGACCTACTTTCAAGACCCCTGGGTTCAGATCACTCCATTATCAGAAATGTAAAAATTTCTATTCTATAAATAAAAACCAGAATATTTTATCTTGGCAATGATGACCTGGCCACAGAAACAACAGCAACAAAACCAAATCAAAGCAAAYGAGCAAACCTTCCCCCTGAAAATYCCCAAACCAAAACAACAAAAAAAGACCYGGAGTGAAGAACAGCTCATTACTGATTTCAGCAGAAAAAGATCAMTGGTCAGTTCATGAACATCAGCATTCCTCACAGATACATCTGGAAACAATACAGATGACTTCAAAGTGYATTGGGAGACAAGAGAGACCATGGAAGGTTAAAGAATATCCAAATTCATTCTGCATGGATGACCTTTAACCAAGCATTTGAGACAAAGTGTAAAATGTTTCCTTGCATTGCAACACCTCTGCTGTTGGCCAGTGYTTGTCTTGTTTCTGAGCTGGAATGAGAGGCTACAGAGCTGCTCCTCTCTGTAGTGACCACCTGAACCAGGAGCCCCTCAGCTCYCAAACTGACTGCAGTAAAAGCAGTGGCACAAGTAAGAAGACTGATGAACAGCAAAGAATGTCTGCTTCCATTTTCAACAGCTCAATTTTGTATATTAATGCTTGAAAAAGYACACATAAACATTGTAAGAGCCAGTCTTCCTGGTTTAGGAGAAGTGACCTTATTCCAGAGCAGCCTTGCTTTCTCTTTTTGTTACAAAGCAGGTGATTTCATTGGAAGGAGTTGCCTGTCTCCCCGACCTGGTGCCCACTATGCCTGGCCTAAAAACAAATGCTTGTGAACACTCACTGTATGCTACCTCAGGATTTGCTTTTTATGCTCCTTGCCTTTTGCACAGAACTTAATCAACATTTCCTACATAATGTTACTGAACCCTGAGTTCACACCATGTTCAATGCAATTTATTACTTATGGCTTGCTCTTGATTGCTGGGTCATCAGCCACCAACAACAACACTAAATAATTAAGGCTTTGCCAGTAATTTGTCCTGGCAGCTTCAATTTTCTCTTACTTTCTTGTAGCTTTGAGCAGTTCTGAGGTATCTCACAAGCTGCTGGTTTGGGACCACTGCTCCACCAGGCTGGCTGTTCCTCTGCCAGAGGCTTCGAGGACATCCCCCTGTCATAACTACATCCCAAGCTCTGAAAGCTCCAGCCATGCCCAGCCCATTGCTGGCACATCACAAACAACTGACTGCTCCAGCTCTGGTGAGTCCCTGCCATTCACCACTGCTCCAAGTGTAAAATTCCTCATGCCATCATGTCCATCCTTCAAGACTGAGCTACATGTATTTCTATCAGTGTGYCTCCTTCCTATTTTCCCTAAACGAGTGAAAACTGAAAGGCCAAATCTGCTTTTCTTTGAGAGATTCCCGACAACCACCTTAAAGTAGAATAGAAACCCTGAAGCTCCACATTTGCCACTTGTAACTTGTGTTCTGCAAGCCAATGCAGCAAGCTGTGGGGCTCAAGCTGTCTCATTAGTGAAGCACAGCTGTGCACTTCAGAAGTGATTTCCACAATGCAAGAAACTCTGGGAGACATGATCCTGTGACAATAATGCAAGTTCCCTGATTAGTTTTGGTTTGTAATATACTGATGGTGGAACGGTGCT